TGCTGTGATGTGGTGCTGTTACTGTGCAGTTACTTTTTGGCTATTTTCTACAGCAACATTGAGTTTTTAAATTTCTTGCAGTTTCTCCATCCAAAACACTTTTCCTGCTCCTGCTACAAAACAATAGCTTTCAGTTCTCTTATTTAATATCTATTCATTTCCTTACCTCACTTTGGGAAAACATGTAGTCTGGGGACATTGTTGTGAGTTAATGAAAGCATTCTGTAATCTTCTGTCCATCAGCTGTTCAGCCTGAAACATTTTCACACTGCCTGTGATTAAAGGCAGACAAGTGAGGGTCAAATCTACATTTGTCCCTATTAATGTCTAATTGTTTACCATACAGCAGCTAAGAGTGCACCATTCTTCACTATGGGATCAAATGGTGGCTTTTCTATTTGTTGCAGTTGTTGAATAGTTTTATTTTGATATCAAAATTATATGGCTTGAAAACACTATTCATTCTGTCAAAATAGTTAACATAGGGTTACGATGGGGGATTACAAATTCCAATAAGATGTGCTCAATATTAAGAGAAAAGCACTTGTTCTGAATCTGGAGTTTTCTTTCTCCATGGAGATTATATTGCTATGTAGATTTTCCATTTTTCTAATATTTAGGTTATTAGGACATTGTGGCCTGCAGTGAAAACTCAGATTGCAATTGAATTTCAGGATTTAAATTTTCATTTCCAATTATTCAAACAGAGGATTTGTTCCTTAAGAAGTTCATGAACAAGTGCCTTAGTGCCCTATAGACATGACTTGGTTTTAATAGAAATGCAACAGAAAACTGAAATACTGAGATGCAGAATCATTTCTGGCTAGAGTCACGAGGAATTTCCTGAGTCACAAGGAATGGGACACACAAAACACAGCACAGAGAGCCCCTACAAGCAGGAGAAGGATCTGGACACAATGTACAATGCAGAAGTTGTAGGTACACGCACACCACTGTTAGCAAGAGATATCTGATGTGTGCTCTGGGACAGTGGCAGGTGCTAGAACATCACATCTGCTACCTGAGCTGCTCTGTGGAATTCTTCCTAAATGTTTATGCTGCTCTTTTTCCTTTAATTAACTATGCTTGTGGCTTGCTGCAAAGGTCAATGACTGACACATAGGAATGAGGTGTTAGTGGAGCTGTCTGCTTGACTTTATTAAATAAAGATTAATTTATCCTATGTGTGCAGAGTACCTTGCAGGGTTGTGCAGGGCTTTGGTCCTGAGTCAGGGTTTTTGACAGTCTCCTTAGGTAACAATTTGTCATAGCCATTACTGTCACTTTCCCACAGTGCATATTCAGAACATGGAGGAGTTATCTTTTACTGATGTTCTCACAGGACCTCTGCAGTTGAGGGTTGAACTTCTATCTACAATCTTCTATTACATGCAAAATAAATCATATAAGACCACTGTAAAATCTTCATATGTACCTTTTATCATCTCTTCCCTTCACACCCTGAAGTTTGGGGGCTAATTTTATCTCACTCTCCAATAGCAACTACATCTTTCAGAGAGTAAAATTTGGTCTTTAATTTCAGATTGTGCTAAAAACTAGGGAATCGAGAAACTTTGTTCAGTTTGAAAAGAGAATACTAACAAAAAAATCTCTGAAAAGGTTTTTGTCTTCCTCAGATGTGTGCTGCTTTCTGTGATTAAGAAGAGTTCAGACAGGACTGGTTTATGTACTACTGCACCAAGACTGGGCTCTGATCTCTGACTCACAAAGAACCTGCTCTGGCAAATTTGTGTAATTGCAGGAAGGGTAAGAAGTTTTGAGGGACTGTAAGGAATGTCTGAAATGTGGGAAGGTTGGTTCTGTGAAAAAAAGTCTTTATAAAAGTAGGCAATATAACATTATCTGCCCATAACTGCATCTGAAAGGCTTGGCTGTCAAAGAGGGGAGATATTCTGAAATAACTAGCAATAAACTACTTTGCAAAAAATTTAGCCTGCAGGTAAATTTGTAATCAGTCCCTATTAAACTAGAATGGTTTCCTAAACATGATGAAGAAGCTGTATTACTTAGGTAGGTTGTTTAAAGCAACACAAGAAAAATAGAAATTGAAATAAAAGAAAGAATAAGAAAATCTCTTTTATTAGACCACACTGTCAATAACCTACCAGTTGCTTGTTGTTTCTGATTTCCAAGAGTGGTGCTTGGCAATAATAACAACACATTTGTTACTCAGGAGTCAGTTCTTACTGTGCTAACTAATGTAGTGTAAAAAAATTTCATTATTCTCTTAACACATGCACCCTTTGTAATTTACAGTTAAATTTATATTAGATGCTTATATTGGCTTTATTGGAAGTGGTATTTCTTGGGGTTCAAGTGATCCATTCTCAAGAGCCCTAAACAGCTACCAGCATGGAGATGGGCTGTCTCTTTAACTTTATTTCCAGGGCTGTCAGGGTGAAAAGAAGCTGTCTCTAACAGTTGTAGTATGCAGTAGTAAATGATAAACAGCTCAGATTTTTACTCCCTTGTTGGGGAAGCCTCTTCTGGCAGAATTGCAAAATCTCATTAGAAGTCAGCACTGAGCTGTTATTTTCAGATTATGTGCATGGTGCTCACTGTATTTCATATCCTAATATAATATTTGCTTTCCTGTATTAGTAATGCCACCTCACTCTTTCTGGGTTTTACCAAGTTGGAAAACTCTTGCAGTTAATTGAGGTCAATTATTGCTAAAAAGAGAAAAAAGCTTAGACTCTAGTGAGCATCTGTACAATGTGTGGAGCTGCTTCTGGTACTACTACACACCTGAGTCCTTTCAATCTGGACTCTTGCAACACTCTCTCTTTAGAAAGAAGCCAGTGCCTGATCTAATGGGACTAAAAGCCTACATATCCTACTGGTACTGGCAAAACGTCCTTTAGAGTAAAGTAATTTGCAGTGCAAGTGAACAAAATCAATCTTCAGTATATAAAGATAAAGTACTTCCTTTGTCTTCTCGACTGCACAGTCAGTGTTCAAATGAGAGTGTACAATTTATGTTCTTAATCAATATGTACCTCAGTTCTTGGAAACAGCTTTGAGATGAAAGAGCTCACTACATCTAACAACTACAGAGTAGTTGTTACCAGTGTGACATCATTCTATCATAGCCTTTTCAAAGGCTGTATAAGGAAGATTAAGGAGGAGGGAGGCAAAAACAAAGAACAAAAAACAAAAATAAACAAAAAAGCTGCAGACAACTCCATAAAATCCACTTGGCCAAAATGTCAAAGAAACCAGTGGAAGGTGAGCAGTGGGTCAACACTCACCTGCTGAAGAACTCAGCACAAAGCAGCACTAATTGTGCTTCCCATGCTATGTGGCTGTCAGGAAAGATAATGATCAAACAGGTTAGGAAGAAACTCCTGTCCTTCATCCTAGAGATGGGAGAGCTGTTTGCTTGTTTACTTTTTTTTGTATGTGTGGAGATTTTTATTTTTTTTTTTTGAGAATGTTATTCAAGTTTGAGGGACATAGTCTGGATTTTTCAGATCTTTATTTAAGATTAGTGGGAATCTAGAAATTTTTTTAAGAAACCTTTAAATTTAGGGAATGGTATCATCAAGAAAGATTTTTAGAGAGTGTTTTTTTAAATTATTTTCCAAAACTTCCAATATATTTCCAGGATTTGTTAATTACCAGGGAATTTTAAAGTAGAATAGGACCAGCTGAGTTACTGGCGTGCCCTCCTCAATGATAAATCCATGACTGGGTGCATCATCAGCACTGGCCTTTGGGATTCTGCAAGCTGTGCCCACCCTGCTTAATCTTTCATAATCACATATTGGGCTTCTGCAGACAATTTACCATTGATAAATAATGGTCAGTAGGCAGAGTATTCTGCAAAGAAACCAAAACATAAGGTTCAACATTTGTTACTGGAAGGACAAGTGAAGATGATAGATGATTTCAGATTCAGATATAGTAAAAGGTGGAAAGTGGTAACTAGACTGAGTAATACAAAGGTTTCAATGCTGAGAAATGCTCATCCCTGTCCTGGGGAGACAGTGCAAAGTGCTTTCTGTCTCCATCTAGAAATGTATCTTCAAAAGGCTGGCAAACATTTACTGGGCTTCTTTCCTCAAAGGGGTAAGTGTTCCTCTAGATGCTGTGATCTCTTGCCAGCCCTCACACTGCCTTGTAGCCAGACCTGAAGAGAAAAGCACTCCTGAAAACAAGAAAATTCTGATAACCTCATGGTCACCATAGTGTTGTCATATAGCATGGGCCTGAGGGACTTCCCCTAGCAGGACACAAGTGCCACAGATAAAACTTGGCAACTTGCCTTTAAGGCACACCTCCTCTTCCAGCCAGGGCAAACATTGGCTCAGGGCTCCTAGCCTCTAATCTGACTTCTCAGAAACATGCCACTGTGTCCTTTTCTTCTGTCCATGATTTGTTTGCAAACAGAACAAGCCTGGGCACTGGCCTGACCCCTTGTCCTGGGTTTTGAACAGAGAGGGGTGGTTTCTGGGCATATTTTAGTTTACCACAGAGAACCTTTTAATCACGATATATAAACCCTGTTGTTGTACCTCTTGGATTAAATACAAGTGAGACCCACCTGCTGTCCAGCACCCTGAAGTGTGAAATTCACTCTGGCTTTCAACATCCAGTGTTCAAAGCCAGGGAGGGTGTCACTGTGACTTCTGAAGGACTCACAGCCAGATGTGATGACAGTGGCACCCTCTGTGTCATTCCTCTGCTTGAAACAAGCTGTGTTGCAGCTTATTTGGAAAAGATGTGGAGTTGTTTGACCTCAGACAGTGTGACTCAGGCTTGTCAGAAAAACTCTTTTCCTTGTGTAAACTTATCTGAGTGTCCTCTGCTCATCATGTCTTTTTGCTGGAATGTAGTATTTAGAGGTAGTAGTCAGTCAGCTGAGTGAGTATCTGCTAACAAGCAGCACAGGTGAGACCTTAATTTTTTCCTGAGGTTGAGTGCACTGAGTAAGGGATCTCTAATTCATGGCTACTGGTTGAAATATAGACTCTCCCTATTCCTTGCTGGGTGCGGTTTTATCTGGAGCTCTCTTTTATTACCACATGAGGGAATCTCTGCTCAGATGAAGATACCTAAAGTACTTCCATTACTGTATGGTCACAGGGGGCTGATGCCCACATTTTAGAGTTGGTTATCCAGTGGGCAGCAGAGCTGTAGTGGGAAGATCACAGGTCTGCAGATGCTGGCATGCACAGGCAGCTATCTCTCAAACTGTGCATGTCAAAGCAGTTATTTGGTGAGAAAAGTCATGTTTTGCTCTTATCTGTTAGTCTCCCAAGAAAGCTATCTGATAACAAGCTAAATTGAGAAGAGTTTGCACTCTGCTGTTATTAACATTCCTCTTTTACAGATCATCAGTAGAACATAAAGAAGAAATGACACTAAAAAGGCAGAAGAGATTTCACAAGCAAACACTCTTCCTGGAGCCCGCAAATTAATCAGTAAAAAGACGATTTTGTTCCAAGCATTGATAAGTTGTCATTATAATTCTAAGAGCATTTCAGCAGCCTTTCACCAGTTGTACCTCTGAAAGTCTTGTGACTTGTTCATTGGAAAAACTGTACCACGTGTGTGGCTGCTCTGCTTTTACAAGATAAGGAGGCATCAAAAGATGCCAGGCACGGTGCCAGATAACAGCGCCATTAGAGCAGGACAACCACAGCACCTCTGCCTAAACAACGCCTCTGCTTGTTCTAAAAGCATCAAATGGTCACAGCAAATGCTGAGGGATCTGCCTCCTGTGAGGGAAACCTCTGCTGAAAGCGTGATCCTGAGCTGGGATGTGTGACCCCAGGGTTAGAGGGAGCCATTAACCAACTCTCTTGGTGAATTAGAAAATGTCTCTAACATGGGTGAAAAAATAGTTGTTCAGATTATTAAAAATGTGATTGTAAACAGAAGGCTATAAGAAGGCTTCTACTACTTCAGTGCAATCTTAGACTTGTAGTTCTCATTTTGCTAGTTTTTAGGATAAATGCAGATGCCTCAGCCTGCTCCCACCTGAGTAGTACCTTCTGGCTTCTGTAGTCAGCTATCTTTATTCTGAAAATAGTTTGGTTCTTTATTGTCTTATTTTTCCATTCCAAGTAAATGTTTGAGTGAATTTATATGCCATTGTTCAATATTTGAAACAGTTAGTTGCATCTATTAACTCAGGGGAGGATAATGGAGTTTTCCCTACTTGTGGAAACTGCAATAGTATTCCAAGTTCAGCTTATCTTGGGACACTTTAAAATCTAAACTTTTATGACATGTGAGAACTGGGGATGCAAATAATGGTTTGCCTGCAAAGAGGAGGGGAGATGAGAAATGAAGCCTGTAGCCACCCCCTTCAGGCAGCAGTGGTTAAAACCCCCAAAGCAACCCCTCAATGAGGTAATAAAGCTCACATGACAGAAAAGAGAATTCCTTTTCAGAGAAAGAAACCCTGAAAGATCTTAAAGATCTCCTCATCTTTTCTTTCTTCCTGCTTCGCAGTACTCTGCTTCAGCCCCGCTCTATGTTGCACAGCTGCACAGAAGTACTGTACGTCTATAAAAAATGAATTTATTAAGTCAGTGGTTTCATCTTACTTATCTCTGGAAAATGTGTGTCTAGCTGTCTCTGTACACAGTGATATATTCATAGAGTACAAGAATAAAGTTACACTTGAGAGACAAAATTGATTTCAAGTTCAGTGGCTGGTGCTGGCACCTGGCCTCCTGCCTGGGAGAGTTTGTTGCTGTGCTTGCAGGGTGTTCGTGTAGGTGATATTACCGACACGGAATTGGGCTACTCGGATTATCTCGGTGTGAAAATTTTAAATTGGTATAACTGAGAAACATAATACGGTAGATGATGGCCTTTGCATTTATTTTAAAGCTTTAATTTTAGGTTTATGAGCTCTTCAGAGAGCTGAGTGGTTTTTTAAGATCAATTTTCTGGGTCTGCAGTTTTAAACTCCGCTTTAAATTCTGCTCCTGAGCAAAATGAATTGCATGGTCCCCGTTTAGCTCAAGTAGATCAAACGTGTTGGGTCACCTAATGAGTGGATGGATGTTGCCCTGAGTGCAGATGATAGGATCTAGCATCCCACTGAAGGAGTCATCACTTCTGTTTAAAGAGAGGATGTGCCATGGCCACAGCCATTCCTTACCTCCCATGAGACGTGCTTTAGGAGACACCTAAGCCTTTGTGCGCCTCTTCGGGTGGCGGGGAGGAAAAATGTTCTTGCCCAGACCTGCTGGCCACCCGTGGGGAGTGTGGAGAGGGGGCTCCTTTCTGCTCAGTGCTGACTTCTAATGAGATTTTGCAATTCTGCCAGAAGAGGCTTCCCCAACAAGGGAGTAAAAATCTGAGCTGTTTATCATTTACTACTGCATACTACAACTGTTAGAGACAGCTTCTTCAAAATCTAATATTGCCATATCTATTTTGACAGACGTAATCTTGGGTAAACAACACTGAACATAATGTGATTAGCAGTTATAATTTCCGTTTGATGTGAATGTAATAACCCTAATTCAAATCTAAACCAGAAAATGAGGAACTGTGAAATTTTCACCCTGACAGCCCTGGAAATAAAGTTAAAGAGACAGCCCATCTCCATGCTGGTAGCTGTTTAGGGCTCTTGAGAATGGATCACTTGAACCCCAAGAAATACCACTTCCAATAAAGCCAATATAAGCATCTAATATAAATTTAACTGTAAATTACAAAGGGTGCATGTGTTAAGAGAATAATGAAATTTTTTTACACTACATTAGTTAGCACAGTAAGAACTGACTCCTGAGTAACAAATGTGTTGTTNTCAGCTTTTAGGCTGGTCGAGCTGCATTGTTATTCTTTGAAAGAACACCAAGTGTTTAATGTTTACCCTTTTTATTGCAAATCCCTCTTTAGCACCAGTCTGATCTTCTCCATTCAATGGGATGTTGTGGAGGGGGTGAGGGTTTTGCCTTGAATTTTCAATAGAGATCAAATTTAGTAAGTTACTGTGATATTGTTACTGGTCCAGCTGAAGCTCTCAAAACCAGCGAGGGTAACCCTCATGAGATGCATTACCCAGAGTGTGAGCTGGCTTGCCAGCTTCTGAAGCACCCCAAGGAGGGCAAAATCTTCCCAAGAAGCCACCTCATGCCTGGCCCAAAACTTGAGCAGGAAGGCACATACACCAGCATTAGCATATACAATCAACTTGAGTCTTCAACACCCTCATATTTCAAAGCTGAGATACCTTAAAAAATGGACCTACTGCAATTGTTTGGGTGGTCAGCTTCCCACTGACATCCTTGTGGTCCTCTCTGGAGCACATTGGCTTCTAAAGCAAGGTAACTGTCAGGCTTTTCGGTGAAATCAACATTACTTTCAGTTTGCATCCCAATGTCATTGGCAACAGAGCTGTTGGTGAGCTGTAATTCTGATTTCTTTGATCTGTGTTGTTTGCCTGCATAATCGAGAGACAGGCAAACACATGCTTGGTAAATGAGCAATTGCAACATGTAAACTTTTTTTTATTCCTTCAGGGAATGCCTTGGCATGAAGCAAGGCAGCCCCTCATGCCTCCAGGAGTGGGAATAGCACACCCTTGGCTGGCTGAGGAAGGAAGGTGAACCCACCTGATCCTGAGGCTGGGAGGAGAATGCCAGGACTACAAGGCTTCCCAGGGGGCAGAAAGGAGCCCCCTCTCCACACTCCCCACGGGTGGCCAGCAGGTCTGGGCAAGAACATTTTTCCTCCCCGCCACCCGAAGAGGCGCACAAAGGCTTAGGTGTCTCCTAAAGCACGTCAGGCAGCAGTGGTTAAAACCCCCAAAGCAACCCCTCAATGAGGTAATAAAGCTCACATGACAGAAAAGAGAATTCCTTTTCAGAGAAAGAAACCCTGAAAGATCTTAAAGATCTCCTCATCTTTTCTTTCTTCCTGCTTCGCAGTACTCTGCTTCAGCCCCGCTCTATGTTGCACAGCTGCACAGAAGTACTGTACGTCTATAAAAAATGAATTTATTAAGTCAGTGGTTTCATCTTACTTATCTCTGGAAAATGTGTGTCTAGCTGTCTCTGTACACAGTGATATATTCATAGAGTACAAGAATAAAGTTACACTTGAGAGACAAAATTGATTTCAAGTTCAGTGGCTGGTGCTGGCACCTGGCCTCCTGCCTGGGAGAGTTTGTTGCTGTGCTTGCAGGGTGTTCGTGTAGGTGATATTACCGACACGGAATTGGGCTACTCGGATTATCTCGGTGTGAAAATTTTAAATTGGTATAACTGAGAAACATAATACGGTAGATGATGGCCTTTGCATTTATTTTAAAGCTTTAATTTTAGGTTTATGAGCTCTTCAGAGAGCTGAGTGGTTTTTTAAGATCAATTTTCTGGGTCTGCAGTTTTAAACTCCGCTTTAAATTCTGCTCCTGAGCAAAATGAATTGCATGGTCCCCGTTTAGCTCAAGTAGATCAAACGTGTTGGGTCACCTAATGAGTGGATGGATGTTGCCCTGAGTGCAGATGATAGGATCTAGCATCCCACTGAAGGAGTCATCACTTCTGTTTAAAGAGAGGATGTGCCATGGCCACAGCCATTCCTTACCTCCCATGAGACGTGCTTTAGGAGACACCTAAGCCTTTGTGCGCCTCTTCGGGTGGCGGGGAGGAAAAATGTTCTTGCCCAGACCTGCTGGCCACCCGTGGGGAGTGTGGAGAGGGGGCTCCTTTCTGCCCCCTGGGAAGCCTTGTAGTCCTGGCATTCTCCTCCCAGCCTCAGGATCAGGTGGGTTCACCTTCCTTCCTCAGCCAGCCAAGGGTGTGCTATTCCCACTCTTGGAGGCATGAGGGGCTGCCTTGCTTCATGCCAAGGCATTCCCTGAAGGAATAAAAAAAAGTTTACATGTTGCAATTGCTCATTTACCAAGCATGTGTTTGCCTGTCTCTCGATTATGCAGGCAAACAACACAGATCAAAGAAATCAGAATTACAGCTCACCAACAGCTCTGTTGCCAATGACACTGGGATGCAAACTGAAAGTAATGTTGATTTCACCGAAAAGCCTGACAGTTACCTTGCTTTAGAAGCCAATGTGCTCCAGAGAGGACCACAAGGATGTCAGTGGGAAGCTGACCACCCAAACAACTGCAGTAGGTCCATTTTTTAAGGTATCTCAGCTTTGAAATATGAGGGTGTTGAAGACTCAAGTTGATTGTATATGCTAATGCTGGTGTATGTGCTAAGCCTTCCTGCTCAAGTTTTGGGCCAGGCATGAGGTGGCTTCTTGGGAAGATTTTGCCCTCCTTGGGGTGCTTCAGAAGCTGGCAAGCCAGCTCACACTCTGGGTAATGCATCTCATGAGGGCTACCCTCGCTGGTTTTGAGAGCTTCAGCTGGACCAGTAACAATATCACAGTAACTTACTAAATTTGATCTCTATTGAAAATTCAAGGCAAAACCCTCTCCCCCTCCACAACATCCCATTGAATGGAGAAGATCAGACT